AAGCGCTAGAAGAATCTCTTAGCTTTTCATTATCTATTATATCAAAATGAGTTCTGATTGCTAATAGGCCCAAGTGAAATCACTGAGCAAAAATAACCAGAGTCCAGCATCAGGCGCCTTGGAAAAGCCATATTACACAGAGACATGCCCCACAAAGGGGCTCTTTTAAAGCGCACTCCCCAGGAAAGAAGGAAAAGCCAGGCCAACTGTATAGAAGTGGTCGGTACATGTATTCAGTGAAAGCAGAGCTTGAGCTCAGAGTCACTGCGTCCTTTACCTTCACCTCTCTGAGCATCACCCATGTTCACCTCTGCTCTCCCCTGCCGTCTTCTTAGTCAAGGTAGAAAAGGAAAGCTGCCCTTGAAAATTTCTCTCTTCCTCACATATTCTAGTTGATACTAATGTACTTTGAAATGGCTTTCAAACCATGCAGCTTTCTACTTGTATAAGCTTAGGCTCATTAAAGTCATTCGTTTATTAAAACTCAACGTGGATGTTTAATATCAAAGCTAAAATGAAAATTCGGTCTGTCCTTAATAGATGTACTGAATGTCCCATTAGCTAACTAGTAATCATATTGAGATGCCAGCTGGCTAAGAGCTAGGTTTAATCCCGAGTTGGAGGTTAAAGAGCTTTGGGCAGCCTTATCATCAGTCTTCCAAGCCACGCCCTCTGGACAATGGCTTGTGTCCCAGAAAGATTACTCCAAGTAACACACAAGTATTCTCCTTCTGTGCCGTGAGTGCTGCCTGACCCTTGTCAGCTAAGAGACCTGTCGAGATGGTAAAAGGCAGCAGCAAAGTAAACAGTGTGTGCAGTGTGGTAGTATGAATTAAAGGTGCATCCCTTCTCAGCTTCGCTAAGCTACAAGTCAGATAAATGAAGGCAGAAGTGCGTGTGCAGCACAGAACCTACAGCATCTCCTGATGGGCTACAGTTCCCCGGGGGAGGACCACGAAGTACACTTAGACAGCAGCCCATGTTTTTAAATAGAGGCAGAAAGCCTCTACCTGAAACTCGCCTCACCTGTAACTTGGAGATGGCTTTCAGCCCCCTTCAGTGTTCCAGAGCAGTTCCTGTTTCTTTGCTTAGGGAACTACCATTGAGGATTTCTTTGCAGACCACAAGTTTAGCAACTAGGAATATACAGAGGTTTTGTTGGGTTGATTGGTTCTTTAAATGAATGCTCTATCTGGATAAGTGCAGAATCCAGAACTGAGGGTCATCCTGTGAGGGACCTTTATTATTTTTTCTATCAATCTCTAAAGAGAGAAAAAAAAACTTTCTTACTTTAAAAAAAAAATCAAACCTTCCCGTCATTATTTCTAACATTCAATAGTTATCCAGATTAATCGTAATGCTTGCCTTACTGCTCCCTTTTTGGGCTTGTGTGTTAAATGAAAACTTTCTCTAATAAAACCCCTTGGGAGACTTCCAAGCTGTCTATGCCATATAAAATTCCATGCTATCTATATTTTGAACAAGTTTAGAGTAAATTCTGTATGAATTAAATGGCAAT